GCCTCCCCGGGACGGTAGCGCGGGGCGGGAGCGCGCCGCGGAAGGCGCGCGCGGGCCGGGGAGGGCGGCCGCGCGCGGGGGGCCGCGGCTGTGACGGGGCGGGGCGGTACGGGTTGTTTGCAGGGGAAGGGATGGGCTTGTGGGGCAGGAGGTACTCGGACAAGGCGGTGGTGATTCCTTGATACGTATGACTCGCAGTCATTCCTACAAAAGCTAAGGCGGATCGGGTTTTGGAAGTTGTGAAACGGAGGGAGAGGGTGGTCATACTTGTACTCTCCTCGTCTCTGGGCTGTAACTCACAATGGACAACGCCCCGGGCGCTCTCTCTTTCGTTGCGGATTTGCTCTAGCTTGTTGTTTCACGCCGCTTGTCCGCCGCCGCCGCCAGTCCCGCGCCGCCGGTGTCAAGGCTGGCTCCTCCAGTCGCCACCTGTTTACATCAGAACAGTACTACTTTTGTATGTAGAACACTTTTAGATGTACAAGTAAAACCCGTCACGGTCACGTCCCCCGTGACAAGCAGAGAAATCATGAGAGCAGTGTAATAATAATAGTAATAATAGGCAGGTGTAACGGAGGGGATGTCCGTGTGACGTCTCGTCCGCAGCGAGGGCCTCCATGATGCCAGGGGAATCTCGTCCGCAGCGACGGCCTCCATGATGCCAGGGGAATTGTTCAAGCGTTGTTCCCCCCCGGCAGGCCATTCCTATATCTACGAAACATACCGTTGTGTCTGATCGGAGGGTGTCCCTCCTCGCAACATGAGCTCCCCACCTGTCGCACGTTCAGGTCGTCGATTGATGTTGCATCCATTGCCTTCGCAGTCTTCTTTGCCGGCGTCGCCATCATCTCTTTCGCCACCCATCTCTGCGCCTTCATCGCCGTCACTACTGCCGTTGCAGTTTCCCGCTTCTCCGCCGCCATTGGGCCATTTACACCTTACCCCCAGTACGTTTACCGACTATCTCAACATACCGTACCGGCGTGGGGATTTCTACGAACTCATTGACGGAATATTGTACCATAGACGCGACGAGATGGCGGATCCTCATCACCGAAGCATTCAAAGTGTTCTTGTGGCGATGTTCGCAGTGGCCAATGTGGAACGTCCCGATGACGAATGGGTGACGGCAACCGCGGATGCAAGAGTTGGAATCAGGGGAAGCAGCCGCAATACTTCTGGGGCATCGGGCTCCTCGCGACGTGGGCGTGAAGACTCTTGTCTCATAGCGGATATTGCTGTTGGAGCTCATGTCTCGGCTGAGGATGAAGCCACCATGTCCCCAACTTCGATGAAGGTGGACTTCCCCCCGGGCAGGCCTCCTCCTTCATTGGTCGTGGAAGTGACAAGTAGCAACCGAACAAAGGATTTGACGACCAACGTGGGCGAGTACGCACGGGCCGGGGTTCCAGAGTATGTGATCGTCGATCGGGAGAAGTCCAAGGTGATCGTGTACAAACTAAAGGAGGACGACAAGGACAAGCGAGGCACGAAAGCGCAGCGCTCGTCACAGATTAGCAGTGCGGGTGAAGGAAATGGGATAAGGACGTATCAAAGTGTGCGATACTATTCTGGTGATGAGACGTTGGAAGCTGTGGCTCTTCGGGACCTGAAGCTTACTGCAAACAATCTACTACATCCCTCGAAGAGCAGTACTCAGGTCATCGTATCTTCGCTACGTAAAAAAACCGCAGAGCTAAGGAAACTCACGAAAAAAAGGGATGAAAACACCGCAGGGATCAGGAAACAAACCGCAGAGGTAAGGAAACTCACGAAAAAAAGGGATGAAAACACCGCAGAGATCAGGAAAATCACGAAAGAAAGGGATGAAGCTCGGGCGTTCCTAGACAGATTGAAAAACGAAAAGATGCAGAATAAGCGCGGCCGAAACGACAGAAGTCCGGATAGAACAGGGGCAAGCGGAAGCAAGGACAAAAATAACTCCCCCAGCAACAGCCCGGACGTGAAGAAAGGCCGCAGCGGACAAGGCTCGACGAAGGGTAGGGGAGGGTCGGGGAAGTAGGCAAATAGGATAAGGGAAGTATGGGGATGAATAGGCAATGGGATTTGATTTTAGGAAAGTAGCAGGATGAGTAGGCCACCATGAGACAAACAAGTTGTCGTGACTCGAATGTATGTCTCGTTTCATGCTTTGGTTGTACGTGAGCGTGTCCAACAACAGCGACGTGATAGTTTTTGCAGAAATCTATAGACTACGCTCTCTGTTCCGTCACGACGCTATCCCATTCCCTCCCTCCCCACGCCTGGCGCGAGTCGGGACCGACCAGCCGGGAAGATCGGACGCACCAACGGAGGTGTGTTAGGAGCTGATCATACGGAAAGAGGAGAAGGATTTCAAGCCCGTCGGGAATCTGTTTGACACCATGCTGGTAAGCGCAGGACGCAATCCCAGTGTGAGAACCCTCGACTCGGAAAGGACTGGTGTCGGGCATGACAGCAAGATCGGATCGGACTGAAGGTCACCGATGTGTGGCAGACAAGTAATCCTACGATTTATGGCGTACAAGTCTACCCATTCCGCTCCGCCGACGCCATGGCGCGCATCGTCATTCGCGACGCTCGCGCTCCACACAAGGACCCTATGCCTGACCTGCTGACCTCGTACGCCGCGTGGGCAACGAAGGAGAAGGACCAAACTACTCGTCGGCGGGTCAGCGTGGGAAAATGGTAGATGCGGAGTGCACTGTAATGGGCGATCGAGTGCTGAAGCTGACCGCTTTAAAGAAGCAAGCATGGGATGGATGGCACGCGTGAGTACTGTGTCATCATCGACCAGAAGGGCATGCTCGCCTTTGTTGGTGTCGTATATAACGAGATGCGCGCGGGTCCAAGCAAGAAGCGCTGGCAAGGCTGAGCACAGTCAAGGACGCGCAAGGCGGCACACGACCCGAATACTTGATTTCCATGCTGGAGCGTGACAAAACCGGGATGCTACACCCGGACGACATGCCCACGCCACTGCTGCGCAAGGAGCTGTAGCTGGAATTGACTGGCGAGGAGGTGCAAGAGCTGCTCGAGTCGGTAACCAACGTATCTGATGCGGATGAACCAGATCGGCGAGGACCCTATGTTAGCGACGTTCAAGGAAAAGGGGAGCTGTTTGCTGAGGAGGCAGTCAGCTTGGGGGGAGAACATTGTTTCTCTGCACGGGTTCATGATGCAGAAGCTTCAAAGCCTGATGCATTTGGGCGAGCGCAACCGGACGTCATGCCGGCGGTAAGCGGATGTGCCGCACATGCTGCGTGAGGTTGGCAATGACCTCGTGGCCAGCAAGAAGCGACCGCAAAGGCCGAGCGCAAGGTGACCGGCAACGGTGGGGTAGATATGATGCCACACACGCGGGGAGGGGGCTATGAAAACCACGGGTACAGTACCCACAGTGGGGAAGTCGTCCGCGAAGAGGGGGAAGAAAGGCGGCAGGGGCGCGGAGATCGCGCAACGCTGCGTAAAGTTTACGGGGGGGCTCGCGCGCGCGCGCGCGCCCTCAGCCGCGCGCTGCCGGTCGCCCGCGCCTGCCGCGCCCCGGCGCGAGCCCTGCTTCTGGCGCGCGCGCGCGCTTCGCAGCGGCCGCAATTCAGTATCTCGCGCGCCTCGCCGGCACTGGCGCACGTCTGAATTGCTTCCAACGTCTACGCCCGAAATACTTTTTTGCTTGCCGTCCCACCGCAACACAAAACGCAGGCCCTCCGCCAAAATATCTCCTCCTACACAACAACCTCCCGCTCCGCCGGGCTCCGCTCCCCGCGCCATAGTCCGCTCGCGCCCGCGCGCCCGCCCTACGGTACATAAGCCTGACACCGGCCCCCCCTCGCCCCGCGCTTTGCCGGTGCACTCTTTGCCCCCGCCCCCGCCGCCGCCCCCAACCCCATGGCGCCGCGCCCGCGCGTATCCTGGCTGGCCGCGCTCCTGCTGGCGCTGCGCTGCGCCCTGTCGTGCACGTGCCGCTCGTCGACGCTAGCGGCGGACCTTCACCGGTCCTCGACGTCCTCCTTCGTGCGCGCGCACGTCGTGCT